GCTTTGTCCTTTTTGCAGAGTACCATTTGAGAACCCCGAAGATGCCATTTTACTACGGGCAATGACAAGATCTCTAATGGAATTTTCCTCTGTTGACTGGAACAAAGTAGCCACCTGTCAAGAAAGACGGCTTGAAAACAAAGTAGAAGAACCCCTTGAGAAGCTGACAGTCCAATTTAGATGAGTGCTTTCTTCCTTAAGAAAAAAATTATTCCTCTCTCTAGTGTGGAGATAAGCCTCTTAAGTAAGTTAATATCTCTGTAAAACAAGTACACTAAAACATGCATCTAATTAAATGAATTTCCAGCAAAAAAAGTATTAGTGTAACATTCCTTTTATCATCAGATATGTAATATGGAGAGTGAAGAAATTAAGAAAACAAATAATAGTGGCAATGCTGCAATAAAATTTGCTTGAAATGCAATTCTTACCATACTTCTGTTATCAGAAATTATTAAAGCTAAACTGCAAGTTAATTTTTAAGAAACTAAGGATAAAGAATTTCAATCCGTATAGTTCCTACTGAAGAATTAGACTTACCGTGTTCACTAGCAGTAATTTGTCTTCCTCCATCAAAATAAAGACAGGAGAAAGCAATCATTAAGCTTTTCTCATTTCTGAAAGGGATTCAAGTTTCAGTTTGCTAATTTGTGTGCTGCATGTATGCACTGAAAACTCTTATTTTTATGTGGATACTCATTTGGTCTCAATACAGTGGAACCATGAGCTCTTAAGCATGCTGGTATCTAGCTGTTGTCGGTGGCTGCTAATATTCTCCCAGGATGCAGCCCTCTGCTTACCGGTCCTTTTGGAGAGACAGGACTTGCCATACACAATGCACTGCCCCAAGGCTGCTGACTGGTTTTAACACACTCTCTTTTATAACCACACTATACACTGTACAGTGCTGTAGCACTACACCTGGCACTTCTGGCTTCTAAAGCCCGTTAGCACTAAGGAAGCCAGTGGGAGATGTGCATATAGATGGAAAATAATACATTTCCTCACATCTTTCTCCTTCCATTCTGCCAAAGGCTTAAAGCCAATGCTATCTGATGTATCTAGGCCCTTCTTCAGCCTGTGACTTGTCTTCTGAGTTCCTTCTTTCTCTCCTAAGGTAGCACAGAGTCACAGGACAGTCTAGGTTGGCAGGGATCTCTGGAGCTTATCTAGTACAACCTTCCTGTTGAAAGCAGGGTCTGAGATTAGGTTATCCAGTGCCCTGTCAAGACGAGTCAAATATTTCCAGTGAGGGAGGTACCACCACTTCTTGGCAATCTCTTTCAGCGTTTAATTGCACTCCAGAGCATTTTTCTTATATTCAGATGGAATTTCACCTGCAACAAGTTGGGCCTGTTGGCTATTGTCCCGTCATTGTGCATCCCCCATCTTCTCTGTAACTACCTCTAGGTATTGTAAGGCTGTGACTAGATCTCCCCAAGTCTCTCTGGGCTGAACAAGCCAAATTCCTACGACCCTCTGATCATCATGATGGCACCCTTGCTGGACCTCTCTTGAACTGAGCTGACCAAAATGGGACACAGTATTCCAGGTGTGGCCTAGTAACTGCCAAGTCAAGTGGAATAATTACACTTTCGATCTGCCGGCTGTACTGTACTTCTGTCTTCACCGATGCATGGCACCATTTACCTTCGGTGCTGCCAGGGCATAGTGCTGGCTCCAGGTAAGCTTGCTGCCCACCAGGACCCCCAGGTCCTTTTCAGCAGATCCAGACAGATCCCAGTCTGTACTGCTGCTTGGGATTACTCCATCCCATACAGGACTTTTATCTTTGTTAAACCTCATAATTCCTTTCACCTTTTCGATGTTCGATTCCTTCCTTTTTGATTTCAACTTCCGTATTTTTTCTTAAAGTTCCACGCATTTTGTAAATGCCCTTAAATTAGCTGCATCTTTATGGTTTTAAAAGGTAGATCAACACTTTGGTTTCAGTTAGGTTTCAAGAATGTTTTGTTTCTCAAATTGAATCAGTCTACAGAGAAGCTAGACAAAACTAAGCTTTGGCTAACATGTTTTCTTAAAGAGGTCCTCTCTAAGTAACTGTCCATTAGGGTTTAGTAAGTGTAATCCCTAGTTCGTCTTGAGTCTTTTGAACTCTGACAGCTGACTATGCTCACGGACGTAGCCTCAGGAATACATAGATTAAACAAAAAACCCTACCATGGCATCCAGAAGCTCTTCATTGTAATGTTTGCGACCTGTTCATATTTGTAGTTCGTAAATGTTGGATGCTGTCCAACAAGGCACAAGTCAGTAGAATCACCGACTGCCGACATGTCCACCTTACTTAAAAGGCAGTCCATTCCATAATCTCATCCATTTGAGCTTTGTCAAACGGTTTGAGTCTGGTTTAGAGCCATTAGTGAAAAAGGAATAATGTTAGCTATTTTTATAAAAAGAATACTTATATTACAAAGGTAATTTCAAATTTTGCTGAGAATTCCCTTTAGTTAGATGAAGAAAAACCTTGAAAATCTACCTGCATCAAAAATCTAAAGTGATTTGAACATGCAACGTTTAGTTCACTAGAAGATATGCTCAGATAGTTTCAGAAGCTTTTATATATTCTTAATTCAATTCATTCAATTTCCCAGGGTGAAGAGATAGTCGATATTAAAAAAATACTTAGCCTAAAAGTAAACTAGGGAGCAAGAACTGCAATGAAGCAAGCTAGACAGATTCACAACTGCTATGCTCTGTTCTTGTATCTAGCAAAACCACTGGAGAAGTGAAAATTCCATTTTTCCCAATGGAAGGGAGAAAAGTCTTTTGAATCACACACCCTTGAAGATGCAAGAGTGCGTCTGTTGGCTTTGCACGCCGCAGCTGTCTTGTCACTTAAAACCTTGCTTAAGGAATCAGTAAATTGCATATGAATTTTCATCCTACTTTAAGTTCCTTTAAGTAACATGTCACGAGATGTTTCCTCCAATTCATGATTATGCAAGAGCTAGTCCCCAAGTTTATGCACGACCTATCAACCATGATCTTCCAACAGAAGAGCTGTCGCCAGCTCAAGCTGAGGAAGGCAGAGGTAGCTCTGGAGTGTCAGTGCGCGCCGGGACCCTAACTTGGATTGCAATTGCTCTCCTCTGAGACTTGCTGCAAAGAGAGGGAAGTGTGGCAGCCTCTGCTCAAAATTACTTAGAAGCCTTTTCAAGTTCGAATGAGAACAAACACAACTGCATAACCGCGTCAACGATCCCACACTTCACACCTATTTCCAATGTTCATACTTTCTCCTATTGCTCGGGCTTTTCTTCTTTATCAAGAAAAAGCGTTGGCTGCCAGAATGAAAGCAAGATTTGCACTGTGGATTTTACCACACTTCTAAAATCCTGAATCATTTGTCCTAAAGGGTTTGCATTTTCAGAGAAACCTTACAGAGCAACACATCTCAGTAAGCCCCAAATCCCACCAGCACTTCTGCATTTCCAGATCCAAGAGTGGGTGGTGACTACATCATGACTCCATATCTAAGTTCCAGGCATGCATCTCTTGCTCACCAATTGTCATGAAATTAAAACTTGTACACCCGAGCTACAGGAGGCCCACGCACATCAAATGAGAATGTCACCATATGTCCCAACAAGCATTACAGATGCAGTAAAAAGAATCACCACGCAGTTCCCTTCTTTTAAAAAACTTCCCTTTATTCTTCACAATTTACTAATCCTTGAAATTAAAACACAGGTACATTCCCTGCACAGGTGCATTTATGTATCCTCACTCTTACAGTTTTCAGAATATTAAACAAAAACTTTCAATATATTAAATAGTAAAAAATTAATAGCATTTTTCCTCTGTTTCCTCTGAGGATGGTCCTATTCCTCTAAGTTGAAGGATATTGCCATGTTCAACACACCAGTTATTCATCCAACAATTAGGTAATCTCAAATTTTGCCATCCCTATGCAGCAAGTGGTATTTTCGGTTGTGGCACTCCCATTGATTTCATGAGACGCAGTAGTAAGTCTGAGTGAAAGCAGCACAGTTAAGGGAAACTACTTTCTAGATATGGTATTTAGTTGAAAGCCTAACTGAAATCCCAGTTGTATCAATGCACACGTGAATTTTCACATTTAATTCACTGTGACCATGTTCAGCATGAGCAATATTAAGCATCTTTTATGTTTATGAAATAATTCACAAGCAACATCCCAGTGTGCTCTAAGGCATTTTTACCTGAAAGCTGAGATTTAGAAACCATTATTCTTGTCAGTCAAAATAGTTTAAATCATTCTGGTCTTCCCTTCATTAGACTTTGACAAACTTGGAATATTTTTGACCAAACCAACAGTGAAATAATTCTGTTGAAACACACATTTCAGTCAGCTTGAGACATTTGAAACAGCAGTATCATTTAATAAAATTGCCACAAAATAGACACTATTGTTGTACACTCACTAATCAAAAATATTTACAGTAATATCACGAAAAGTTGAGAATTCAGATGAGTATCTTCAGAAACCTACCTGCTACTGAATTCCTGCAGATAAAGCCTCATAAAATGGTGTAAAAAAGCAATTTAACAGTTGGCTCCCCAATGCTTTTCAATACAGTTCTGTGTACTTGCAGAAAAAAATATTTAAATTACAGTTAAAATAGATTTTAGGTTCTGAAAACACGAATAATCCAAATCAAATGCTTTTTATTTTTCACTAAGTGGCTGATTAACCACAGATACTCATAATTTTTTACTATGCTTACTGTTGGTATACATACAGATGGATCTATGCCACTCTATTTTTTATCAGATAATAAATACCTATTTTTGACAATCTACAACAGAACCTGAAGTATTTATAGACAAATTAGCCAGTATTTCATCTCAAGATGAATATAGACATGCTGTCTTTCAAAGGGAGTCTTGTGCAAGCCATGCTGTAAGAACTCAGACATGGTCAGCATAAAAAATTCTTTAGGACCCTTGAGGTACAGGGACGTAGCCAGAACACTTAGTCCCTTCCTACCCTCTTCTTACTCCTCAGAATCTTGAATTTTTTGAAAAGCAATGTCAGCTAAGCCAGTCTCATTTTTCAGTGGACTTTCAGGGTACAAGTCTAGTGCCTCCGTCTCTTTGGTAAATTCAGGTTCTTCCATTTGGTCAGTAGCGTGATTTGGATCCACTTCTTTGGTAGCATCTGAACAAGGGTCTGACTGTTCTTCACTTGTAGAACTATCCTCTACTGGCTGCACTTCATCTAAACAAAAGAGAAATCGCATCATCGCTAAACACTGAACTCATCTGCAAAAAAACATTTTTATTGTTGAAGAGTAATAAACACTAGGAAACTTTGCATCAATTACAGAAGTGATTAATTTAACAAAGCTTCATCAAAAAAGACCTAAGACATTAGAGTTCTGCTTAAGCTGGTGCAAGATTACTCTGAAACTAACTCTACACAAAGCTTTCATTAATTTATCTTCAATTTTGCCATACTTCTTTTAATATGTAGAGGAGCAGAGTGGGACACTACAGTTATTTTAACTTTCAATTCCAACATGCTTTATCAACACTATTCTTACAGGTAGATTTTCAAAGAATGGCTGCAGGCTGGTTAAACACAGAATACAGGTGGGTTTTGTTTTTCTTTAAAAAAAAAAAAGAGGCATGTACATGATTATGTAGAAAGCATTTTTGCATATAACAGACTGAAGAAATTATTTGCTAATCAACAGTTGACCACAATGAACTTTGGTTGAAGTGAGTCATCCTAACATTTATAACCTAACTGCATGGAGCAGGATCAGCTATTGCACCTTTACTTTTCAAGCAATGTTTTCAGAGAAAAGAATTGTTAAGTAACTTTTGCCTTGATTCTGCTAAGTAGGGGTTGTATGCTAGCAATTCTGAAAAGAAAGAGGGGAAAGCCTAGTTGAGGGCCCTGGCACCTTCACAAGGAGTTCATCTTGGTCTCTTATTCTCTGTTATGATTGATAGCCAGTTGAAAACACTGTCACAGTTAGCCACAACACTGCCAAAGCCCTGCCTAGGTCTCATTTCGCTATGGACCTAGCTGCCTGAAGCACAGGCTGAAGCATAGACTTCCTTAACACTCATCCTTGTACAGTGGAAACTCTTAAAACTCTTGGTTTTGCTTGTAGTTGCAGCTGTGGGATTTTTTTTTTTCCCCTTCCCCATCCCTCCCCCCGCCTGGATGTAAAGGATTTGTAGGGGATAGTATTAGCTTTTTGAAACAAAACTGCTGTTGATAAGAGCACCTTTGATACAACACTATTCACAAGGTGACTTGAAGCTAGGATGAATTCACTGTCACGCTAACAACGCATAATCTGGTAAGGTCCATGGTGTGTTGGCCATGTAGCTGAAGAAGTTAGTGAAGATTAACATATAGGTAGTGCAGTAGTAACATGTCAAAAAATATTAGCTTCCCTTTTTAGGAAAGGAGGGACAAGAGCTATCCACGAAGGTCCTGTCTCCACCTCTGAAGAGGAGGGCACCTGGCCACTGACTTGTTCAGTTAATAGGAACCTGCAAGTGTGTGTATTTGTCACCAGTGTGAGGCACCACACTGCTCACAGCCCATTATGTTTTGCTGTATTGGTATGCAATATATTCAGGGATTTCTAGTATCCTTGCCTCCAACTTCCATAGTCGTCTTGATCCCATGCAACAACAACTCTTGTAACAGGACCATCACAGGAAGCTGTTGAAAACTTCAATAATTACTAATTTATTAGTAATTCATATCCTGCTACAGTTTTTACAGTCCAGCTGAAGTGAAGAATACTACCATAAGAGAAGTGTGATTTGTCCAGTGCACTTCTACAATCCTTAAAACAAGGGAAAGGGAATCTATTAAATTGTGAAAGAGAAAAAGTGATTTTCCTATTATTTCACTCACAAAAACATTGTATCAGAGTAAGTTAAGGGGGGTGAGTGTGATACAGTGTTTTTTCTGTTTAATTAATAATTATGTATTAATGATTTGCTTACTGAAGGGAGAAAAACACCATTAACAGTTCAAAGAGTAATGCTTGCTTTCTTCACATTCAAAGTACACAACACAACTTGATACTGTGATTATGAAAAAGAAAGCATTACAGGAGAATTAACATCTACATTAACCTTTGCAACTGGAAGGAGTGGGCTGCTTTCTTATTATCCAACTTGTCCTAACACCTCCAACGAAAGGTAGAGTAGCATGAAACTTCTGCATGATTTTGATTAAAGATTTGGATTTTGAAACAGTGCAGTGTAATTCAGAATGCTTTACTTGTAGAAACCTGTGTAACTCTAGCATTAAAAACCAGATTTTAGAAAGTACTAGCATTTGTAAATTGAAAGACTAGAATTCCAACAAATGCAGGTATGCTGTTATGTTACAACAAAGATTTTTCTTTCAGCCTCAGCCGTTACAGATTTTAAGACCTGTTACTATTGTTCCTTGTGATGTGCAGTTAATGCAGCATTAGTTTCAGCAAGCGAACTACAGATCCTAACCTTTCTTTTGCTTTTTTTCTTGCTTCCTTTTTTCTTTGGCAGCTTCTAGTTCTTGTTTCTCATGAATTTCTTTCAGGGTCTTGCAGACTTTTTTGTGGGTAAACCAGTGTATTTTCTGGCAGTTCTGGTCGCAGTACATCACCTGAAAGTTACCAGAGCTATCAATTCATCTTTATGTACTGAAAAAATACACAATATTCTTATATTTCTTAGTGTACTAAGTTAAATCTCGCTATGTATATTACTTATGGTATTTTTAAGCAATTTGTAAGGTCATACGGAGTGATTCTAACCTATATAAAACTCTATAAAGAATAGCTTGTTTTGGTAACTCTAAACATACAGAAATTTTACTCTTTCTTCATACACAGTTGGAAATCCAAGTACTCCTACTTGTGAATTTCAGGCATCTCTCCCAGAAGTAGATGGCTTGCACGTTTTCAGTGTAGGCATACATGCCATTCCTCGTAAGTCTACACAGTAAATAGTCAACCATTCAAAATCCTCAGCACCTCAGTGGCACTATTTTTTGATTCATTATAACTATTTATGGATTCTTACCATTTTACATACTGAACATCTTTTGTCTGCTCCCTTTCCCCCACAAGTTGTACAGAATTCAGCATCCACAAAACCCACTTGGCCAGTAATAGCTTGTGTAAGTACAGAAAAAGCTGTAGGATCAGAACCCTGAAAGGTAAGACAAGAGTTGGTAATGAGATTAAAAAACAACACTATCATAAAGAGGGACACGTAAGAGAACAACAAAACACGCAATGCAAGCTTCCAAGCGGCTAGCTGCAGTCTCACTGAAGGTGCCACAGCAGCAAGAACATAAAAGTAAATCATAGAACTTCAACTAACATGCACAACCTAACATTTATAGAGTTAGATAAATTTTTGTATATAAAGTTAACTTAGTCCTTAGCTTCTGCAGAAGGGAGGATAAAAATTATCATTTTTCACTCTGTAAATTATTAATAATACTATTAATGAACTCAGTGTTCTTTACACACTGTCATCCGCTTGTAGATCATATGCAGCAGGTTTTCGCATAGTCTCTGTGCTGGCACACAGAAAGATATTTTGCTTGTCACTGAAATATTATTGTGCTTAGTGCACGCAGATACCACAGACCAAATGGTCAGAACACAGAGTCTTCAAAACAATTATTTGCATATTATTATTTAGATATTATTTGCAGTATCCTTCCCATGCAATACAAGCAGTAAGATTTAGTATATTTTACTGGTAACCATAAATTACAACTATTCTTTTGGGCAATCATGTAAACATTAGAGGAAAAAAATGCCGAGTTGCTCCAGCTCTAAGTAAATCCTTAAAATGTTAGACTACCATGGAATATGCATGATCATAACTACTATGACAATGCTGAGATGCCCAAACTGAATCTAAGTAATTGTGCATGCCTAAGGTCAAGGCCTTCCAGACAATTAAAGATTTACAGCATCTCCTCCTTCCCAGCTCTGCAAAATGTACAGAAATCCAATACAACAAACTGTATTTCTTTAATGGGAGAAGGCAGAAAAGACGGCAAGCTCTTCTAAGAAAAAAGACAGGAAGGAAAATGTTTACTCTAAAGCAAGTCTTAATGCATCATGACGGCTTATGTTTTCACACTGTGTTTATTTTTCTGGCTTAGACAAACAGTAGGGATTGCATTAAGCCTCAGGACATTTTATTAGACTGGAGCCACTTAAGATGGAGGCTATTTTTAATTCACTTAGCATAACCCAAACACATCACAGAATTGTTCCACTTCCCCAGCGTTAGTGCATACAACATCTAGCTCTCAGAGACCAGAGAGAACATTCTTGAAAGAGAGTAACAACTCTTGAGCAAGATTTATTATGAACTAATAGTACTACAATGAAGAGTGTGTTAGCAAAGATATATGAGGAAAACTGAAGTTAGATTTTTTACTTGTAATTTTGATTTCCTAATTTAGATATACATTTTACTCTATATTGCATCATCTTGCCTCTCCCTGTGATAAAAGGAGCTTTACAGAATGTTTTCCCTTTTTCTACCATCATGTATTACCAACTTTTGGTGTACACTAGAAATACATTAAATCTAGGAAATTATTTGATCTTAAATTGAATTTAGACATTGTGAAAAAAGAGTGCAAAATGGGTTTCATCTGTGTCTGAATCGACAATTTGTAAAAGTGAATTGGCAAAGAAAAACTGAATAGACATCCCAGAGTAGGAAAAGAAAGCTCTGACACAGAAACAAACTGTTCCAATTTTCTTTAAAAGCTAAGGTATTTAAGCATTCATTATGGGCACAGGAAAAAACCTACTAGTTGAAGTATTTTAGAGCATTTTCCTGCAATATGTAAAATAAAATTCCAGTTTGGCAGAGAGTTCAGGGACTTTAAAATGCCTTTGCTTAATATAATACATTGCAGAAGCTGAGAAACAGAAAGATGGCTTTGTTTAAACTGAATTACTATGCAAGTTGCTTAGGAAATATTTTCTTGATAGGAAAAACTTACTATTTCAACAGGAGCAATACTTCTCACGAGCTGCTGGAGCAACGTAGCTTCACAGTAAGGAAACTTTCGGATACTTTCTCGAATTAGCTTCTCTTGATATACAGGGAAACCATCTTTATCCCTTCCTTTCAAGAGACTAAATTTTTTAAAACCGAAGTCAAACAAGAAATCACATAGTAAATGTTCAAGAACAAATACACAGCATGCTGTACTCTGTCCTCCTGACTCTGTCCTCTTTCAAATTATAGAGAAGAATTATAATTAAAAATAATGCGACAACTTCAAATGCAACAGTGTTTAAAATGCAAATGAAATTATTTTTATTCTAATGCACAATCATTATAAAATACAAAATAACTAAATGTATGCTCTGAAACCACTACTTACTAATTCAGCCACACAGAGAAAAATAATCATCCACAGGTAGACTAGTACCTACACCAGACTGAAGTAGCAAAATGCTTTGTTGTGTTTAAAAATGAGCATTGTAAAAATAAAGACTGAAGAATACACAATACTTCAAAATACAAAATTCTGCTTTACATATGTTTAATAACGTGTTATAGTCCTGATGCTTCTATATTTATCTGGTTGGCTCCTACTTTTTTATATGGATCTCTGATGAACTATTTGATTTCAGTATGTGAAAGCTGACTTTATAATTTATTTTCAGTATCACAGAGAAATCCACGGAGGTCTATGGGGAATGTGATCCTTCTAAAAGCCAGGCCATTTACTTTGATACTTAAGATCAGGCAGCTGGTTTTGTAACTCTGAGCAGGTTCTGAAGATCTAAGTGATTTAAGAGTCCAAGTCTCATCCAGAGCCAGTGGGATTTGCAGTTCTCGGTGGCTTAAGTGTTTTTGAAAAAAAATCTCACCCTGTATGACTGCTGGAGAGCAAAACAGCAAGAGAAATGTTCCCAGATGATCCATATCGGACATTGAGAAATTCTTTTTTCAAGCCTATCACTCCCCTTTTTCTCCACCACATGTTGCGCTCTGCTGCTTCATAGTGTATGTGCGATTGCCAAGCTCTAACCAGTTCCAGCAGGGAGCTGAAACTCTAGGAATGTTTCCTTTGTACCCCAGGAAAGGACAACGCCGCTTCAGACAGAAAAAAGGGAGTCAGTGCCACCCTGAAGTGACTGCAACTGGGATTATTTCAAAATTTACTTGGCATAGCCTTTATCCAAGACAATCCAATCTATTACTACAGCTGTCTTTTTCTGGTATCTGTAAAGTTGATTCATACATATGCCTTCAGACCTCTCTGTAGAAATACATACCTTTTGATAAATCCATCTAGTTTATCCTCTCGCTCTTTTAAGAATGTAATACATTTCTGGAAGATGCAACTGATGTAGTGCATTTTCATAGCAAGTACTTCATTCATATCTTTCTGCTTCATACATTTCTCACAAATTAGATCCAGAACCCTATAACATTTCTGCAGTGCTTCTACTTCGGCCAATAGAGGGTTCTCTTTTACCAGCAACACAATCTATGAGAAAGATTGAAGAAAATGTAATCCAATTAGGAACCAATATTTTTAAACTTGTGCATCAGCATTAAAGGTTATATAGCTCATTGTAGCTATATTTCAGTGGAGTTTCTAATACTCCTCTACTTCCTCCTTATGCAGTCTTCCCCTTCTTTTTTTCAGTCATTATTTAATATTACTATTTAGTATATTGTAATTCACAGTTCACATAAAAGAAACATTCAAAATTAGGACTGATATTAAAAATAACAAGGATTTTTCCAGAATAAGAACCTGAAGAATCAAAACCATTTCAAAATAAACAGTTACAGAAACTACCATACACTGTCCTAAAATCTCTTTCCTTTTGAACACCTAAAATAAACTGGACTTGTATGATTTAAGCAGTTTCACAGAACACACTAACCTCACATCATCTTGGAGTACTTCAGGTAGACTAGTAAAGCACTGAACTTACGATTTTAAGAGGAAACTGTATTATATTCTACTCACTACATTAGCTGCCACTGGTACATTACTGTTTGTATGTACTGCAAATACCTGTTTGGCAACTGTTGACAAATTCCTAACTTTGAATAGCAAGCCCAAGGACTTTGTGTTTGAATTTATATATACTAATTTCTCTGAACTACACTGGAAGAGCAAACCATAAGAGACATTATTTTCAGCAAATACACTGGGAAGTAAAAATAAACATCTCTTGCCCACACTTCCAGAAACAGCAGCAGATGTTACTATGGTGAACCAGTGATGAAGGTAGGAAGATACATGCTGAGACAAGCATTGAGAGAACAACAAGATTTTGTTAAGATAGGAAATTGTTTGTGTTTCCACTTCAAGTGGGGCTCGGAAAAAAAGAAAGCCAAAAAAGAAAGCTATTCATGGTTATTGATGCAAAAAATAAGAATCCCTCCACTTGAAGATGTTAGTTCAAGATTCAGGTGTATATAAACACTGAAATAGCTTCATTTTTGAGTCATGTCTAAATGTTGAGCCCGATTCTTTCTCACTTTCAGAAGCATCTGAATTAACAGATAATCCTTTTGATCTTAACTGGACTCTGAAGAGTTGAATGCTTTCTGACATAAAGAAACAGCTCCCATGCCAACTAACATACACAATTTACATATTACTCCACCTTAACAGGATGCATGTTAGTAGTAGTAATAATTTTATGTAGAGGCCCAGCTAATTTGACTGGCAGTTTTGGTTCTTTATCTAAGCCTTGTGGTTTAGTATAGTAGTCCAGCCTTTCACGTGGAAAGAAGTTGTTGATGACGGTCACACAGTCATGTTGACCTAGAGGCACACAAGAAAAAAAAAATCACCAATGAAATGAAATAATAACAAAAAAAAAAAAAGACCTAAAACCAAATCTAATGTAAGCAATACAGATGAGAATTACCCACACAGGAGCTTAGCATGATACGCTTTGCACTGGTAACAGGCAACTCTTGCCATTCTTTTACATTCAGTAAGTGTGACTTTTACAATCAGTAAATGTAACTTTCACCTTCAGTAAGCGTAACTTTCGTGTTCAGTAAGCATAACTTACTGACTCCCAGCAGGGAATGACTTCTTGAAATTTCATTTTGAAAACTCTACCCCCTTCCTGCATCCTCTTTCCCTTTTTTTTTTTTCCCTGGTAAGCCAAAACTAAGAGAATAGGTATTTCTCCCCAAAGTTATACTATACTAACAGTGCCATACTAGTGTTAAAATTTCTCACGTAAAGTTCTCTCCACTTTGTACTTTCAAAAATTAATGACATTTGCATTGGGACTTGAAAGTTTTCAGACCTGAAACAGATAGTAGTATATTAATCCAAAGCAGAGAAATTATAAGAACGGAACATGCTTAAAATTTACCAAAAAAAGGACTGTGATGAAAGTAACAAGATGAGAGAAGTTACAGCCCCTTCTTGCTTTCTACATCTGACAAAACGATGGATTACTTGGCTAAAGGGAAAGTAAAACTTAGCTTCTCTAGTTCAGGACCACATTCTTTAAATTGATTGATTTATCTTGGCAGTAATCCTATCAATCAGTAGAAGACACAGCCAACCAAATTCCAGCATTTAAAACCCTCCACTGTTTTAGAAGAGACTGTTCTAAGCTAATAGAGCACAGTATAAGACTAATGACATGGGAAGAAGTATCCTCACTTCCCACACACAAACAGATGAGTTAATGTTGATTGGACAGAGAACAAAAAAGAACAGGAATGGATTCCAATGTTCAGACTTCTACAGAGTAGCGTATCTCAGTATGCCTGAAAATATTTATTCTATCTTGGTGAGGTGATAAGACTTTAAACAAGAATTCTCCAAAATTATGTTGGAGATAACATTCCCCATTCACTAATAACTCAATTCAGCATCGCATTGGAAAAGACTCTCCAAATCCAAAGTATAATTAATAGGAGTGGACTTCTCTGACATATTAAGTGAATAGTTAAGGCTTTGCTGCTTGAACCTCAAGCGAGCAACGTCAATCTTTTCCTCTTTAAAAGACCAAAATGAGGTATGATTGAAATTCAAACTGCACTAACTCACTATTCAAGGAAGTAAATCTAAATGGCAAGGTAGGCTCTTGAATCCAGAACACCTAATGGACTTGCAAGAGAGTTCTCAGACACTTGAACAATATGAGAAGGTTGTGCTGAAGTGAAAATACAGGTCCTCATTTTTTGTGTTGTTGGGAAGGTCATCTAGACCTTCTGGTCACATTAAAATAACTCCACTTTATCTGGTAATGTTTTATCACATGTCCTTGCTAGAAATAAAGAAAAAGTGGTACATTTGGGAACGTTAATCCAGGAATCTCCCAGCACTGTCAAGATCGGTAAAGAAGTAAAAAGGCTTTAGAAAAAAAAGACAAGAAAAAGAAACACAACAACAGAAAAAAGCCTGGTTCCATGTTTTGCCCAGGATCACACAGCATACTGGAATGACAAATCTTTTGGCTTGTTCTAGTCAAGTTCAGGTAACAACTACCTCAGAACAGGTTCCGAGACTTCTCCCTCTTCCACATGCAGAGGGAGAAGGGCAGGAGGTGACTCACCGCTAGCACACAGCATGCTCATGGCAAAGCTCAGATGAGATTTCCTGACTCCTAGTGCTATGTTCGTTCCTTCCCTCAAAAGAAGCTCCAGTTACGCACTTTGTACGGCAGAAGCACATACCTCCACTTCAGACACCTCAGATGTTACCAGCTTCCTCATACTATTTGAAAAGTGATGACGTTGCAAAACCTTGCACACCTGGAGAACAGCAGCATCTATTCTTATAGATAAGATCATTTGTGCTTTTATGAAACAAAGCATGGGAACAGAACACAAATTGACTCTGTTATAGGATGAGATGTGGGAAAAAAGCTGAACAACTGTGTCAGTTCAGAACAGGTCATTAAGTAATGTTTCTCCAATAAAAAGCATCAGAATCTAACATTTTACTTCTTTAGGAATTTAGGAAATGATAATAGACTTTCACCTTACCCACAAAAGCAGCCATCTGAGCTGCTGTCCTTCCCACAGAGTTGACGACATCAGTCTCTGCTCCAGCCTCTAACATCATCCAGGTGATTTCTTTGTTTCCTGAATTTGGGAGGGAAGATATGGGAATGAGAGAGAACAAAACAGAACTTGTAATTCTTTATGTTGTAGAAAACAAGGTGTGAATTTCTTAAAGACCAGGAATTACAGCGAGGGAAGTGAATGTTCTTAATGTCATTATTTTAAGAATGGATTAAGAGAAAGGCACAGTGCTGCCTCCTTATTTATGGTTCCAGAGGGTCAAATCAAAGTAAAAACTAAATTCAGGCAGGGTGTAACTCTGCTCTCTGTAATGCACATTCAGCTCCCTGTGGTGCTTATGGGAGTCATATGCATATAACTACGCTAGAGTTTGGTCCCTCTGGATAGCAGTATAGGAGCAAATTCTACTAATCTAGTTTGACAGTTCAACTACAACATTTGCTATTCTAAGAAGAAAAACAAATCCAGTACTATTATGTAGCAGGAACATAAAGAAGGGAACAGATTGTTCCTTTCTCCACAGCGGGAACTGGGTGTTCAGACTGGGCTAAATACCAAGTAAAATGAAGCTAAAATTTGATGGGAAGATTAGATGACTTAATTGGTGCCCTTCAGAGACTAATAAGGACACTTGTCACCAGTCATGCTGGTCCTGCTTTCAAAGGTATTCTTACTTTATCAGTTTTTGTGCATATGCTAAGTACAGAAAAGTGAATATAAAAAAAGAAGGGGGTGGTGGATGGAAAGGAATGTTTCTGATTTAAAAACAAAGGCATTGCATCAGTAGTGCTCATGTACCTTTTGTACTCACAGGTAACAGACACTAAAATCAACATTCAGAAGCATTCAAGCCCAGGATGACAGGTTAAAAGCTCAGCTGTGAGAAAATGGTGAAAATCCAGCATTTTCCATAAAGCTGCAGTCATTTAACAACCTCTAAGAGTTTGTTCCCATCTTGCTGCAGCTCTGATATTACTCAATGCCACAGAACGCTTAAATTTCCCAGATCTTTTTACCAAAGTTTTAGCAGAAAAGCAATCTGAGGATCCAGTTAAGGTTCATATACACACCTTTCTTTTTTTGATGAAAGAAGGCAGAGTTTAAACTCTACCTGCTAAGAAATCTTACTTCCTTAGAATCTCCTTTCTGGGAAGGCATAAGTGGCCTGGTAAAGAAGATACTCAAAATAACCTAATATTCCCAAACCTAATCTTTTTCCCAGAAGAAACAACTTTTTTCATGTAATGTCTTTTTCTCGCTCAAGGAAATAATTGTTCCTTTCATCAGGGAAAAAGAATAGCAAGAGGAAAGCTGCAAACCACCGCTTGAGACAGGATAAGATATATACAGCTATAAGCACTCTTATGGAAAAAAAAAAAAAAGTAAGAGGAGAAGGAAAATTAATGTGAGAAAACATGTTTTTAAAACTTACTAAATATATTTTTAAAAGTCCACAAGATAATTGCAAAAATAATGTAGGAGAAAGGCAAAATTTGAAAAATACTGGATTGATCTGACATGCCTCAAATATTAATAAAAGCTACTGATTTGTAGTCCTAAAAAAAGGCAGTTTGGTGCAGCATCTTTTTCAGCGTAACACAGTATAATTAAACAGAATGTATCCCACTGCACAAGGAAACAGTCACAGGAGACTGAATTTTGAGATCTGACAAACACGACAAAGTGCAGATAGACTATATGCCTCAAAATACTGAACAAAGTCAATTTTTACATGAAAAAAGATCCCAAGCCTGAACAGTAGCTATCCTACTCCACTGTCCTGATGATTCTACTGGTCTTGACATATTTGCCTGGTTCACGTAAGTAACAGTAAACCTGAATAATAGAAAGGTGTCAACATTTTCCTTTAGATGATTAATTTATGGCAAATTGGACCCATCAATGTCATAAAAATCAGCAAGCTAAGTTTAGTAAGAAGTTACCTGAAAGTCCAGCAAACATCAGGGCAGTATACCCATGCTCATGTTCATTGCAGTTAACATCAGCCCCATGTCGCAAGAGCAACCTGCACATGTCTATTTTCCCTTTGTACGCTGCATGCATTAGAGGGGTCATGCCATGCTAACAAAAGAAAGAGAAAGGAAGTAGCATACAAAAAAGAATTCGTTATATCTCTTGATATTCATACCACTGATAATTTTTACTTGTACATACATACTCAGTATAACTACGAAAGCCTCACATAATGTTTAATTTAGCAACAATAAAAAAACCTCATAAAATCTTCATGAAAAAATATGGTTACTAACATGCAGTAGATTTTCCATTTCCATGTCACATTTCTGATTATGCGGTGCTACATACTTGAAAACAGACCAGTGTTGAATAAATGAAAACCATTTACCACTGATTTGGCATTAGCCTTTTGTATAAGACGTTAGCGTTAAAGACAACTAATGCTTCTGCTAGCGGGAAAAGCTTGTTTTAGAAAATTTGTTAGGTTCCTAAGTTATTTCTTTTCTCCCCTGCATTATATGATAAGCAACAAGAAAATTAGGAATAGGCTCGTGTTGGTTTTGCCATTACAAAGATTTGCAGTTTCTGAAACCCATCTTGCTCATTTTTAGTCATGATTACCGGTAATTGTGCTACCCTCCTCTCTCCCATTTATCCACCCTTTTGGTATTGTGTCTGTGATCTTACATCAGCCAGAGATCTGAAAGCCCTTGTAAAAATACACAGCTCTAACTAGACTTTAACAACCACACAGTCTCAAACCTTGCCTTTTGATAAGCTGCACCAGTACAAAAGGGATTAGCTTCAGCAAGGGAGGCACTGAGTTTTTGTTGGAGTTGCACTGGTGTAATTATAAATGCAAACTGGGCAAACCCTAGGGGAAATTTTCAGAACTAGGGTGAACTGTTAGTGCAGGCTCCCTCCCTCTCAAAGGGCAGGGAGAAGCACATTTCTGAGAAAAATGCATGACATTCCGTTTTTAGAACTTGATATGCTTTTTCCAATATGCTGTTTATTTTCACTTAATATCAAGTCATAGTAATTGCCCAAGAACATTCTCCAACGCTGAATACAAGGGGGTGTGCTTTAGTTTGTCCCTAAAGGAAATCAAAATGCCATTTTTGTCCTTTTTTTGCAAGTTAAGGCTGTGTGCATGAATACATTCATGTACACCATTACCACAGCTCTGTAAACGCACGGTAATGTGATACTCTGAAATAATGTAATTGTCAGTTGGAGCCTTAATATATTTCTTGTTTCAGTTTATGATAAAGTAAAACCCAATTGAGTTAAATTCATCAGTATAATTTTCAAAAAAATTCCAAAAGGTGAGAGAAATTGGGAAAGTTAAAATTATAATAACAATTTTAAAGTATTGTATTTTCATTATTCCCCATCCTAACTGAAAACAATAAAAAATGATTACTTGATGCATTATATTTTAGTAACCCGAAATATTTTGGTAAACTGCAATATAAACCACCATTAAAGAAACAAAAGACCTGAAGAGATCACATCACAAACATGAAACAAATTTGTGATTGTTTTTGCTAGGTTTCATTTGTGGTCTTATAAAGGTAAGTAAAGGCTTTCTATCCTAATATATAAAATATAACATAACATATTATATTATACTACACTATGTTACGTTATGTTCTATTATATTGACAGCAATTTTTATGGGCCAATCCCAGTGTGAAGTCATAGTATAGATTCGCCTCCTTTAGCAGCGCAGAAGAATACTGCTGTAAGGGAATATGAACACAGTAAGGTTTTAGACTGGAGAAGGAACTTTAAGAAAACAATGACTTTAAGTTTGGTTATATCTTGAATGCCACTTTCAATAAAAAAATCTGTCTGAAGATTACAGGACAAAGGAAAGGGTCGGGGGGGGGGTTTTGTCATCCCCTCCTCCTGGGAAACTTCTTTTAAAAGCCTTTGATTAAATTTTGAAAGCATCAGGCTCTGGTGTGGATCAAAAAACCACATCAAGTAGAAAACACGTGGACAGTTGTTAGAAAATTGGATTTAAAGTCACACTAGCCTTTCACATTCATAGCAAACAAAAATGGCACAGGCTAGACACAAACTTATCTGGAAAAGCTTGGTATCCTGCATTACGTCCCTATACAGAAACTGAAATAACTGCAAATACTCTTCTCAGGCTGAATATCAAAGACAGGTCCAGCAACAGTTTGTGTTCTGACAGATGACATTTGGATTGTCAATACAACATACTTAAAAGACTAAACTAGCAGACAGTTTATTAAGCATAAAGATGAAACAAATTAATTATTGTTCCAGTATGGAACATAGGATGAAGAATCCATTTTCTAGCAGCTACTATCTAATATTCTTCTGACCAAAAATCCAGTCTTTTAATCTCATTCCCTAGGATAAAAATTAATCTTTCCCAGTTTTGTTTACTTTGCAGGGATGTTATGTGGTTTACAGGGAGCAAAATTAACATCTCCCATCTTCTGCAAGGCTATAAGTATTCCCTGTATGTCTGACTGTACAAAGGGAATAGAGTTTGCAGTGCCTCTAGAAATTGCTTGGCACCTCCCCTGAGCAGGTTCTTCAGCTCATCAACCAACAAGGACTCCCTGGCACAACAGGGCTATGCCTCATGGCCCAGCCAGCCCAGCCATTACACACCATCCTTCCCAGCTCCTGATGCTGAAAACATACCAGAAGCAGACTGAGGGATGGAATTCCAAGAGCTAAGCAGACCTAACGCTGCCATGGTGGGGGAGCCAACTGCAGAAGAAAAGAAAAAATACTACGGGGTCAGTGGGCTGAATCAGCTAACAAGGGAAGAAAAGGATGTGTGGGGAGGCAGGAGGGGCAGATGAGTACCAGAACTAGGGAGGGGTTGGACTCCAGCGCCAGAAGCAGGGGAAGAAGAAAGCAGGTCAGTCTCTCTCTCTTCATCACTTGGGAGAGGTGTACTTCCACAGGATGAATAAAAACAAATCGATGAATAAAGATAATAAACTGGGAAAGCAACCTTCTGCCTTCTAGGAACTACAGAGGAAGTTTTCAACAACACTGTTTCTCAACGTTCGTTGACCAGAGGAATTGGGGAGCAGGGGGTGGCCAGGGAACAAGAGTCAGGACAAACAAACAAACAAAAACCACAGACCATCTTGCATCCCAGTGACCTGTGCATATTTGGCAGAAAAAAATGACTGCGTTGTGACCATTTAAACACTCATGCTGACTACGTAAGAATACACATATGATACATGTATATTTTTAAAAGCCATTGTTTTGTGGATAACGTGCTGATGATTTGCTACTGAAGTAGCCACATAGACTTGCGTTACTCAAGAGAAAAGAGGAATCCAAGTGGTCCCAACGTTCCCAGTGTTTTACACTTCTTGTGCTCACTTCACCCTTCTTCTCAAATGTGGAAGCATGGCCAAGATGTGGCACACATGGGCTGGATCACACTGGAGCGGCTCCCTCAGCGCGTACTGGGGTACACTACGACACTGCATATGTGAATACTAGCTACCTAACTAGAGTTTAAGTCAGAGGTGATTTTGGTAAATAGAACCAGAAAAGAAAAGGGAAAAAAAAAAAAAAAAAGACTGTAAAAACCCTAGCTGAAAAACTGTCATAGACACTTGTATGCTGATATGCTGACACTGTTAAAGCATCCACCTCTCTCTTTCCCAGCTCATTTTGCAGTGAGGAACCCAGCCCCACATTAACAAGGAAAAAGTGCCTTATTTTATTCTTTAGATTCAGGCAACTAAACCAGTTCTATTCATTCAGAAAATTACAAACTAAACACATAGACTGGAGCTTTGGCTTTTATTTGAGACAGTATTTGGGAAGTTGCTAAAAAGGAAACAACTAATGTAAAAAGAGCAGGTGTCACAAGGAACACAGAAATACTAGTTGAGGAACATCTTCAAAATCAACTCTCCTAAATAAAAAGGAAGAACACTACTGAAATCAGACCAACTCATTAAGACTAGTTCAGGTAGGTATTTGGAATTGGACTGTAGAAATGTCTCTGACTTTTAACAGAAATGGTACTGAATGCTGCTAGTCTAGAAATACATGACTTGAATTTTCATTGGATGAAAGCCTTTAGAAATTTCACCCTTAAAGCTTTTAAGTAAGATTGCCCTTACCTATCTTAAACTTACTGCAAGCTGGATTTGGAAGCTAGTCAACAGATACACGCATGAATAATCTTAGCTACAGCCAAGTATGAACAAATTAGAATATGAAATACTGTTCAGTGAGTGTAGATAAGTCGATCGATCATAGCTATAATTCTCCTCCTTTATAGTCATCCTGCTGAGCTGTTGGTTTCACATATGTAACACATTAGATTTCTCTGATGATCTTTCTGTTCATCTGCAGCGATGAAAAGTTAAAGTCTACATCAGTCAGCGACCTGAATTGAAACCAGATAATTCTTAATAGCTGTTGAATTTTCTTTGGTTTGTGTTTTTTGAAATATTATGTAAAAAACATCAGAAGACAGAACTCTTTCTCCTCAATAAAGGCCAAGGATCTGGGCGTTTTCTGCTAGTATAGGAAGTTCATACTGGAATAGCAAGATAGATTAACTGAAGAACCGTCCACTGAACATAATGAGTAAAGCTATACATATCTCATACACTAATAAGCAGGCTGCTGCTGTAATTCCCAGGAAGTATTTACTTCTGTAATTAGCATATAGAAGTGGACTGTTTCTAAAAGATGTATTTTATTACAGAAGTGAACAGCTGAATTACCAAACTAGAGGGAAAAAAGTAATGCTGCTAATGCCAAATGATAGTTCTGTATATAAGAAGATTATGAACGACCTTAAAATTATTTTAAATACAGAAAAACTGTGAAGTCTTTTCAGGTCAAGTCTCTCTGCTTGATCTGCAGAGATCTGCAGAAAATATGGGATTGTAGTACTACAGTGCTCCTTCACAACCTTAACTACCAACAGGACTGAGGAAACTTCCACAGCTAGAAATCCCATGCACTTCCTCTAGACTGCCTTTCCGTAATAATCTGAAAGATCTTAGCCACACCCTGCAAATGGATGGACTTAAAGTCAGTAAACTGCCAACTGCCAAGTCACAACACTATTTACAAGCTCTGTACTCCCAGGGGAAAGAAAACTTCTGAACGCTTTCTTCCATACTACGTTCCCAAATTAGCAACCGCTCCATCTAAAATAGGACAAAAAAATGCACTTAAATGAAATATATTTGTGTTTATCTTGCATCCATTTCCATTGCCCATCTATTTGTCCTAATATTTTGGGATGCCTGAGCTTAAATGCCCCTGAAGTTTTAAAGTTGCCAGAATCAAACTGTTAAAGACAAGTTTTGTGGAAGAGCTATGTATTTCTTTGTTTTCATAAAGACAGTGATTAACCCTAAATACTTTCCTTTCTTTGACTACCTAAATCCACAAAGAAACAACAAAAAAAATTGATTTGATCATAAAAGATGCTGTGAAAAAAACAGGACTGTATCTGCTGGATATCTACAACCTTCTGGAAGATGGGCATCTGTGAAACTAATTTGAATAAAGGGGTCTTGCTCTGCTCCCGGTAGAGCACTGCAGATAGGAGGAGGTGAGGGTGAGTGAGTCTTGGCACATGGGCAGGAAAAGCAAATGGACTTAGGGGAGCGATTTTTTATTTTTTAAATACATGTAACAACAGCAGAAGCAATGCTGAAACACTGTGTCCAGCTCATGCCCACATTTTTGAAGGAAGAAGCTGAAACAACTGGAAAGGATTCCGAAAAGAGCCATGATTATAGCTCAATTACTGAAGAAACATAACTTTAGGCAAGATAGTTAAAAAGTCAATTTGGAAGATGTTAAAATATGACTTGGTCCTTGTCTAAAGGTACATAGAGAAAAGACTGCTGATTGTCAGTAGTTTTTAATCTAGAAAAAAGCAGATCTAAGCAGTTAGAATACACGGTCAAACCAAAATTAAAGGGACATCTTATGTGTTTATTTTTTAAAATCAGGAAGTGCAATATGTAACAGCCTGCTTCCACAGATGCTGTGGATTCTCCAGCCTGTGGAAATTATTAAATTGTGACTGCATGTTTGCTGTACCACAAATAGAAGAGAGAATTACATTAAACCCATGCTCATTCTGTGGATTCTCTCATGTAAAAAGGACTTCAAGGAAGGAAATGAGTTCTTAGTTCCCAGCTGAATTGTGCTCCCATTTCAACATCTAAGCATTCAATTTTCAGGGCTGTTTCCTCATTTCTTAATAAAATAAGTAACAGTAGTAATATAAATAATAACGTGAATTTCAGGATAAACAGCTAAGGCCGCAGAAGAAGAAAATAAGACCTGATGCATTCAAAGCAGTCTCCAGTTGTGGCAACACTGAATAGCAGATGAAGCTAATGTTTAACTGGGGATTCACACACTCTATTTAGGTATAGATATTAGAATAACACATTAGAGGGAAAACGGTTTATGACAGAAAAAATTCTAAAAGCTGACGTGAGAGGACTGATGGATTAAGAACCCTAAACAAATCTGAACCCTTTTCTGTTCAATATGCATCATTACACACCACTCTTGTGTGGGGATATCTTGTGGGGATAAAAAGGAGACTGCAAGAACTGCATTGCATGAACTTTTTAAGCCTTATGTACCCTTGGTGTATTTAGCCAGACGTGAGCATTAGGCAAGTATTGTTAATACTATTTCTTCTTTAACAATAGCCTGAGGCATAACTCAGTTATGGTTTCTATTAATAAACCATATCCTGTCAACAGTAATCCTGCATTAACACTGCATCAAGGGTGCAGTCATTCAGCACTAGTTCAGCAATTACAGCTTTTAAAGACCATGCAATAAAGCACACTTGCACATTGTATCTTATGTTCCTAAAATTTACTGTAAAGCTTAATTTGAGTAGTTTGTTAGAAGCTAGTTGAAATTCATACATTAGAAATTAAAGTTTAAATATTTAACTGTATTTAAGAACAATCAGAAAATGGATCTGTTGGCAGCACAAAAAAGGCCAACAATATTTCAGGAAGATAACCAGCAGATGAAGTGATAATTTTCCTTCATTCAGTATTCACAAGACCACATCTACAATATCCTGTCCAATTTTGGGCCTTCCAAACAGTACAGCAAAGACATGGATAAACTGCAGTGAGTTCAGTGGAGTACCACCAAGACATAGTAGGAACTTGAGCACTTGTGCAGTGAAGAGAGGCTGCAGGAACTGGGTTTGTTCAGCCTGGAGAAGAGATGGCTTTGGTGGGACCCAACAGCAGCCTGCCATGGCCTACAGGAAGATCATTGAGAAGACAGAGCCAAACTCTTCAGTTACGGTGGCAGGAAGGCAAGAGACAATGAGCATAAGTTGAAATAGAGGTTCAGACATAAGGGAAAAACATTTTCACTGTAAGCACAGTAAAGCAGTGGAACAAGTTGCCCAGAAATATTGTGCAGTCTCCATCCTTGGAGGTTTACAAGGCCAGACAGGATAAAACTCAGAGCAACCTCATCTGACCTCAGAGCTGAAGCTGCTTTGAGTGGGAGGCTGAACTAGAGACCTTCCGAGGTCCCTTCTAGCCTGAATTTCCCAGTGATCCTATGAAATTACATAGTTGGGAAAAAACAGAAACTGACATTTAAATTGATAAATTACACATTGATCTAACATAGAAGCTGGCCAATTACACTTTTGCTTCCGTGTTACACTTCATATTAATGTCGCTTTAGAAAAACATTGTAAAACGAAAAAGAAGAGGAAACAGATATGAACATCACACAAGGTTCCTTTCTCCACGAACTTCCTCCCATCTTCAGGCAGCACTTAAGGATTTTACCTTCTACATGTCTATACCCATCTGCCTCAGCAAAAGACTGTGTGTTTTCCACTTCTGACCTAGCTGCTCACTGACTATGTTTATGGTTCTGCACAGATAAGCCTTTGGGTGATGAGATGCAAGTGTGAGATGGGGACAGGTATTCTTTATCCACACTGTCTGCTGCTATCTAAGCAGAGGGACTACCGTTTGGTGGAAGTGACAAGAAGTCAGGGAGCACCCCCATGTGTCTTGCTGCAGTGTTCATCTTACCTTACAGACACCAAAGGTCATGCTGAAACTTGAGAGAAAACACAAACAGTGTAGTACTTTAAGTAATATTAATCTTTAAGCTTTCTTAAAAAAAAGTAAGAGCTCTTCAAAGGTTCATTATTCAGCTGCAGGATAGAAATATCTTCAGAGTCTGTATAGCAATGTTATTTAAGAAGGCGGCCTTCAGAGCTATTATTTTCCTTGCTAAACCCAGCATAATGCTTGTACAGTTTCGCTGTACCTCATCCAAGCAATTGACACGGACATTCTTGCTGCCCAGTAGCCTTCCAGCCTCCTCGGTGTTTCCTTTAATTAAAAAAAAAAAAAAAGACACAAAAAAAGAGAAAGGGGGATGAGAAAGGGAATAAATTGAGAATCAAGAGGAAAAAGATCAGTTCCATGTAGATTAACCACCAACAAATCAATTGCACTTAGTGAAGAGGCTTAGGAATGAACAGCGTTCTGTTCTAGAAGCTAAAAGCCAAAAAGTCACAACATCAAAGAGTAGCCTGAGAGCATGCACTAGAAGTAAACACCCAGTTTTTGTGAAGTAACTGATCTACACACACACAAGAACAGGACACTAATATGTCTCTTCATAAACTGCATCAGAACAATTCTGAATGAGTAAAATGATACTGAACATTTTAACACATTCTGTACTTTGACCTCTTTTGGAGCACCTTATATCTAAAAGAGCTATCTAAATTCTCACAAAAGGGAATTATCCCATTTCAAAGACTTGCCTGGTCAGAACGAAGCATGCTTTACAATCTACTCACATCTCCCTTCCTGTTTAAATTTGAAATTTGCAACATTCCACCTCCCAAGTCCACAAAAGTGGAAGGAATTTGCTTTTAGTAATAGAGAATAGAGGGGGAAAGGACAAGGACCAAGGTAGCTTGATCACTGACATTTCTAAAAATTGCCAAATGCATAAGCAGACTGAAGTCTGAAAAAAAAACTGTGCAAGGAAAAATAGGCCATAACTTTGTATTTTTCAACTTGCTACAAGAATCCTTTCAGTTAAGCCACAGATCTAAGAACCTGATTTAAAGCCCTTCGAAGGTCTATTCAGTAGTGTCAATGCAACTTCAACAGATATTCAAACAAACAGAAATAAAAGAACATTCAAAAAGTCTAAGCTTGGGGAATTAAATTTATTGCAAATTAACAGAAACTTCTGGTCACTGATTCAATCATAAGCAAAGCTCTTTCAGCAGTGATGTGCTTAATAAAAACAAGCATTACATCCCTCATTTTAATGACAGGCTTCATGTTTATCTTCACTATATCACAAGGAGGTGCTCTTCCAGAAAATTTTCAGCAAAGCAGCTCTTGCAACTTCAGTTTTGGCTCATTTTCTTTCAAAAAACATTACAAATACGAGAAATAATTTCTTTTCATAAAGCTTTTGGGGTGGTTTAACTATACTAAACAGGCTTCTTTACCCATTCTTTTTTTAAAATTAATTATTTTAGGGAAAAAAGCCAGTCACCTGAGTCATCTCACACACTTGATAAAGACCCAGTAAAACACATTGACTGACAGTCAGGGCACTGTCAACTAGCCTACTCCCCCAAATATTTTTTTTTTAAAACATGTGAGAAGCTTCTTAGGACCTCGAGTAGTTTTCAGAACATCATCCCAAAAAAAGAACAAACATCAGAAACAGCAAGTGTTCAAGGGGTGATCTTCAAAGTAAATTTTAATAAAGTACATTGCAAGTAAAGCAAAGCAAAGTTGCATTTACAAGTTCAGGTTCTGTATGACAAAACGTGGAAGGATTTCCAAACAAGACACTAAACTGATGGAAGTCAGACTTCTAGAATTGGCTAGGGCTTAAAGTTGGAGCCAGGCTGTTCATAGTGCTGCGTGGTAAGAGGCCAAGAGACAACAGGGAGAAGTTGAAAGAAGCAGTAGCTTCAGACTGGATGTAAGGAAAAACATTTTCACTATGAGCCCAGTAAGACAGCAGAACAGGTTGCCCAGAGACACTATGCAGCCTCCATCTTTGGAGGCTTTCAAGGCCTGACAGGATAAAGCCCTGAGCAGTCTCGTTTGACCTCACAGTTGACCTGTTTTGAGCAGCAGGTTGGCCTAGAGACCTTCTGAGGTCCCTTCCAACCTAAATTATCCCATGATCCTAGTCATAAGCTTCAGGTAAGTTAGACATAAGTGTCTGCAAGACGAAAGCAAGACGAAACTCTGCTTAAAGTGAGTCAATCAAACTGATTCTGATCCACAATAAATTCATCGCTGACCATCCTATGCTTGTGTCTCTGACACAGAGGAACATTTTAATAGAATTGAGAGTGAAGCCCCAAAACTATAAATAAAATTTCTTATGGGTTCGAATTACCTCAAAACTACATATAGAAATGTATGGAGCACATCAGGTGTTTTTTGTTTACCTCCAACTAATAAACATCGCTCACAATTTTCAAAATACCGTTTGGAGTATAACTACTTAGACAGGGCTGTGAAATTCATGTTGCTGGACCGTGAAATCCAACTGTTACAGCAAGCGTGACAGAAAGCGCCCCCAGCAATAAGCATATGTCACATAACGTGGTGAAACTGCAACGCTTACATGAAATACAAAATAAAACAGTCTAAGGGATAAGAAGTGTACTCTGGACAAGCTCAAGTTCTGTTAATTTAAGAACATCCTGTCTGCAAGGACATCCTGGTCTGGCAACAGCACATAGGGAAACCTGTAACAGGCTAAAGAACTGGATTATCCCCAAGAAAAGTTTTTTGCAGAGCACGTTAATACAAGTCATTAGATAAATGTCAATGTAATGATACAAACACATATAAGAAAGATGTAAGCTTCCCTTGGCAGAGTTGGACCCTCACAGCTGGGCTTCCCCAGCCTGAACTGCACAGCAACGCGCAGCCCCTCCACGCCTGGCAAGCAGCCCCCTTTGCCTTCCCTGGACGACACAGGCCTGCCCCACGTACGGCCAGTGTGAGGGAGAAGCGCGTTCTGATTTCCAGGGGAACAGCCATTTTCCCCGTTTGGCAGAAGGGCGACGGGGCCCAAAGGCGGGGGCTGGAAAGCAGGCAGGCCCCCATCACGGGCCCCCGAGGACGGCGACCCGAGGAGC